GATAATAAGGTAAGCTTTATAAATCAAGCCTAATCAGGGTCAAGAAACTAGTCAGAGCAGTGGCATAGTCCCATGGCATGGTGGCAGCCTGCCAGTCGTCTCTGAGCTCCCACAGCTGAGGCTGTCTCGATGATCCTGAGGCTCTCTTATTTTAAAGGAAGCGTTACAAAACTCATCATGTCTTTGTCCTATGGTTATCCAGATGCTCATTCTCTTCTCATCAGCCTTAATGGGTTTTACTCTTAGAAAAGAACGGAAAAAAAAGACTTATGGGCAAAAGCAGAAACAAGGACACTCTCACTGGAGGAGTCCTCTACCAAGCCCTGCAGGCTCTCCTTAGTATGTAAAACATGCATTCTTTCTGTACAGGAGCCCAGCTGCAGGGGGAAGGCTGGAAAGCACAAGGGAGACAGGGTGCATGTCTGGTGCTGGGGGAGAACTGGCTGAGCCAGAGTCTTCTTTTTGTGGCTGATTTGGTTGGTAGGATGCTGGATGAACTGACTATCGTAAGAGAAACAGCCAACAATTCACGTGACAGTGAAAAGCCTAGTCCAGCTTAGTGTTTGGAAGACCACTGTGGGTCTCTAGCCTTAGGGTGGAATCCTTCGACGTGGGTGTCAGAGGGACATACCCTGGCATACCCTGGCACCACATCCCAGCGAGGCATGGCAATGGAGGCACCTCTTGTGCTCTAGCCCAAAACTTCCCCAGGAATGTGTGAGTGTTGGAAATGTCTTTTGAGTTGCCTTACAACTTATATAATAAAGACTGAGAACGTGGCATATAGCTTCTGCTCTTGGGGTCCACAGTCTAAAAGAGCATTTTAGCACCTATCTTGTAGGGACACAGGGCTGTTTTTAGAACTAACCCTTAGTGTCAGACTTACAAAGCCATTTAGGGGATTAACTCATATTGAGCATCTAGGTTTTAAAGGAAATAAGTCTTCTTTCACTTGCACTGGTGAATACTCACTGAGGCAGAGTTTCAGCTACTGTAAATAAATACCATTGATTTGAACTTTCTCACAGTTCAATAACATAGAAGGTTTAGAGGAGCATGATATAGATAAGATTTAAAAATAAATTTTAAAAAGTCAGAGCCCTGATTCCCAAATGTCTTTACAATTACAAAAAATACACCTCCCCTCCAAAAAAAAAATCCTAACAATAAATCTGATTGTGAGATCAGTCCTCTGAAAATTTTTCTTTTTCTGAGGTAAGGTTTCTTATTTGGATCTCTCAGGAGTAAGCTAGCATCCACCTGTCATCAAACTAGCAAATGCTGGTAAGAACTATACTTTAACTATTCTTCCTGCTTTGTTGCCTTCGTCCTCTCCTCCTGTCCACTAGTCCCTGGGTAAAACCCGGATAGGAGGTAGGTGGCTAAGCTGCACAACACAGTTAGAACAAGCTATTTCTGAGTGTTCTTGAAAAAAATTGAGGTGCCTAACAGAAAAGGTACGTGGGAATTTAGGACAGGTGGGGGTCAGAAAGAGGCTCAAGTGCTGGACTATCCTGCCTAATGTGCGGTTTTGGAGGAGTCCAGCTTCTTGTGTTCCCTGGTGAGTTCAGCCCTCAAAGCAGGCTGTTTCCTCACAGCAACATTGCTTTACCACAAGATGCACAGCTGAGGGAGAGCAGAAGACAAGCAGAATGAGCAGTATCATGAATGTGTTATAGAGTCAGAGAAGCTCTTTAAAGCAAAAGAAAATATTTGAGGTGAATAAAGAAAGTAACGGGAGATAATGTATGTTACTATTCTACCTTTCCCCTTCTTTCATAGACTGTGAGTTTAGTATTTGCCCTGTTGATTCAAACTCTCATGACTGCCTCTCCCATATTCAAAAGTCCCAGCAAAGACTGCTTACATATATTTTTTTCTCTGATTTCTTTTTAAAAGAGGTGTGAGTTTACACCCTTTAAAGACTTAGTAGTACTATGAATCATGGAATTTTCCTTTGGACATGGGACTTAAACATCTACATTTTTCACTCAGCATAAAAGATTCTTATTATTATTATGGAAAATAAATCTTCTTTTACTTCTCTTAAAATAACATAGATTCATTTTCCAGTTACACAGAAGGTAGTTACCCAGTGATTCAAGACTCATTTTTTTTTAATGAAAACATACTTTATTATTTTTATTTCCTTTCATCAAAGTTTCTAAGGCCTTAAAACAACAAAAAAAGACAGAATTATCTTACCATTTAAACAGTATGCTGAGCTGGTTGCTATCCATAGCTATGCATAGTTGCTACCCATAGTTGTGTCTGTTCCTTGATTTTTTTTTTTTTTCCTCTTAACTATTTGGGCAAGCGGTACAGCATGAAACAGCACAGTAATTGTTCAACATAAAATTTCCAAATTACAGTTGATGAAGTTCACTCAAAAGGAATTAAAACTTTCCAAAAGAAAAAGGTAAATCTATGGAAAATATTGAAAATAAACAGCAATAAACAACAGTTTCTTCTATTTTACACTGGAAAGTTTATTTTGCATAATCCAAACTCTGTCACAGCAAATGAGCTCTTGCTGGGTCCCATCCTGCCAGCATCATAAAATATTTAAAGAGTTCTAATATTACATTTCAAATTACACTTTTGGAAGTTTCTCTTGTGTGTAGCTTACTAGTTTTTAAACCAATGAGAATAATGATAAATTTTAGGTTGTTTTCTTTTTGGTTTTCATTTGTATCAGTCTCATGTTCAGCTGCTGTTCACTGATATTACCATGGTACAAAAATGAAGCTGTTGTTTTGGGTTTGCTTTTTGAAAAAAATAATATATTGTTCTTATTATGCTATGTGTGATGTGATTTTCCCTGTGGACTATCCTGGTAGAAGTAATATGTCTATGGAATTCAAATTAAAACAGATTAAATACCTGCAAATATGTGCACTACAGATTTTTTTTTTCTTCCTCAAATCTCAAAAACAAGCAATTATTTTGAAAAGACAAGATAAAAGTACCAAGGGAGGCAAGAAATAAGGGCATTACCAGAAATACTCAAAACAATCTGGTATTCCAAGTACTTAACCTCAACCTCTCCCCTTTTTTTACCCTCAGTAAAGTAGAGATATATTTTGACTGTCTCTACAACCAGTGAAACAATACCAACTTCTTGGCTTATGGATATTTCTGTATCAGGGTTCCAACTGAGAACTTCAGTGTAATCAAATTCATTACATTATTATTATGCATTTTAATATAAATGGAATCATCAAAGAAATGACCCAATGCTACAGGGTTTTATTTGTAATGATGTGTGCGACTTAGAATTATCTGCTATGACATTTGATAACTCAGGAAATAAACCAACTTATTAATAGTACAGTTCTGTGTATCCTCATCAACTTCACACGCAAGCATTTATATATTTGAAAGCCTTCAGTAAGTGAAAGAAAAAAAAAACATATCCCTTGCTATGTGTATGTGTCCTTGTTCAGGAGTTCACAAAACCAAAATGAGATGTTTTCTAATGGTATATGACATTGTAGACAATTTAAGTCTTCAGTGCTAGGTTGAAGGACAGTTTGGTCTAGGTTTTTAGATTTTTAGCTGAAGTGTAGGATAACGACACGATACTATTATTGCTCAAATACTTCAGAGCCTTGTGTCCACATTATTCTCAGAAGAATCTAGACTCCTATTTTCCTGTGCACGTGAAGAAAGCTTTCCATTGGAGAAAGCTATGCAATATGTGCTTTTCACTGTCAGGTTGTTGATGCTCCTTCCTAGCCAGCCAAGTGAAACCAGTAACTGATCTGTAGGCAGACTCATGATGCCTCCCCCGCAACCCCTTTCAAAAAAAAAAAAGTACCCCAACATATTTAGCAACACTTTTACTAACGCTTCAAGAGAAAAGAGGAATCAAACATAGGTGGGCCAGTCACACAGTTTGTAGTATGCAGACATATATGATAATCAGCCATCATGGTAACACCTTCATCTACTGGGATTTCATCCTCAGTAATACAGCAGATTTGTAAAAGGCCAAAAGATGCGTAGATCCTAACTCTCAGGTCTGCCTTCTAGTTCTGTTTGTTTAAAGACTTTTTTTTTTTGTCTGTTTGTTCAATTTCTGTGTGGTTTTTTCTGTAGGTTTCAGCAGAATATATACATATGCACACATACAACTACATATGTATGTGTATTGTTTTGTAAATGTTCTCAATCATGCTTTTTTCTGCTTTGCATCATTTATTCATGTATCTTCCATGTTCTCATTTATTTTTTGTGCAACTAAACCTTATAATAAATTATTATTAAATATAACCTCACAGTGATTGAATCTTCATGTTTTGTTTTCTCCTGGGCATGGGGGGAGAGCTGGGGGGGGAAGAAGAGAGGGAGAAGAGCAGGGTCTACACTTCCATTCCATCCCCAAACAGAAAGCACTGAAATATCGGTGGTGAGTGGCAAGAAGCCTGTAACACCATGCAGCTGTCAGATAGCAATCTTCTGTTCATACTTTAAAATCTAGGTTCAAAGATCCCTGATACGTTTGCTTTTGTCAGTTGAATAGTACTATTTGCCCAGCAGCAAAATAACACCTCCTGTGTGAAAAATCATGGATATTTATTATTCAACAGAGCTCTCAATCTGAGATGCAAAAATCATGGATGTAGACAACATCGAGCACATTTTCTTTCTCACCCTGTCACATAGACTTCTCAGACACATAGATTTCTCAGACCAAATTAACTTTATGTAAACATATGCAGTTCTGTTCTGCATATCAGAGCTGTTCTAAAATTCTTACTTAAGAGTACACCTACTGGGTAAAAAAGTTGAAATTGCAGAAGTACAGTTCTACATATGAAGCAAAGGATACATTAAAGTTGCGATACAACACAGACACAGCTGCTGTAACCTGGTCCAGGCTGGCTGCCCAGCCACAGCAGCCCAGGCAGTGCTCAGCACGGACAGTTTGACCTTCCACATCTCGCCAGCGCAAAGAAAATAAAGCCTAAGCTGCAAACATAAGGCCTGCACTTTGGTTACTTCATTCTTAAGAAGGAATCTAATGGTCTTTCCCTCGGTATGTGTGAGCTATTTCTGCAGTTGACGTAAATCTCTTCTGTCTGCCTGAGTGATGATTCTTCTCCTCTTCTTTCTGTGTTCCGTATGCCATGAAAATTGCATCTTCCATAGCTGTTATCAGGCTAGAAGAACATTAAAAAAAAAAAAAAAAGAAAAAGTTGAAGGACTTTTCTCAAAACAGATACAACTTTGGAAAAAGAGAAAAATGGCAAGTTTTCCTCATACACTGATTTATTATTGGAAATATACAACCATCAATCAAAATATGTTTTCTCTTCTTGTTTTCTATGAGTACATTTCAGGTCCAAGTCATATGAAAAAAGAAGTTGCACTTTGAATATATTTTCCAGCTGTCCCACCCCAGGTGCCTGGTAAAGCACCATTGAAACGCCCCCTTCCCCTCACATGCACACTTCAGGTACTGAAGTAGTCTTCTATGTCAGTCTTAAAACATGAATTAACATAAAGGTATTGTCCAGGCTAAGAATTAGTCATGCCATTGAGACAACTTAATGTGATGATGCCTTGGTTAACCAGCATAGGAGGAAAGATATTTTCTGAAGCAAATGGCTGGTCCGTAGTCTACTGTCACCCTAGGAAGAGCTTCACCCAGCCATCAGAATGAGAGAAATGGAAATGGCAGGAGGTCAAAGGGCTTTATAAGGACATATCTACAGAGGAGCTCACTGTTGGATCATACGGAAGTGCCATCTGAGTCTCACATACATCGTGAGAATGGGGTCATTTCCCTAAGCACCGCAGCACTACATACCCTGACTGAGGGTATGAAGAGGCAAAGCAGAAGCAGTGAATTTGACTCCTACTATCCGCTTCTAAACTTCAGGCCTTGAACAGGATTATTAAGAGCCGGGGGGGGGAAAGACTCAGAGCTCCAAAATGTTATTGTTACAATACAAAAAGAAAGGAGAAGCGCGGGGGGGGGGGAAAGACTCAGAGCTCCAAAATGTTGATTGTTACAATACAAAAAGAAAGGAGAAACACTGAAACAGTTGTCCCAATGAATTATAGTGAAGCTGAACTAGAATAAATAGATAAAGACAAAGGGTATCACAGAATACAATATTTTGCCTCGGTTTTACAAGTAGTGACTTGAAGAAAAAAGGTGTTAACAATACACAAATAATATAAAAGCTAGCAAACCAAACAAGCTAATTCGTTAATAGTATGAAACACAGTTGGGTCTCTAAATGTAGTTGTAAAATATTAAAGAATATTAATCAAAAAAAGTGAATAGTGATAATCATACTTTAAAATATTCATTTTTTCCTGTCTGTATAGTTTAAGATCATATACAGAAGAGAAAGATGTCGAGAAATATGCAATACAAAATATAAGTAAACTCCAGAGGATCTTACCTGGGTCCAAGTAGAGCGCAAAGCTTTAGATGAGGCCTCTGTGATCCTCTTCCTCTTCTTTCTGGTGACATATATTCAATCAGAAAAACAATGGAGTAAACTACGCCCTCCATCATAATATAATCCAAAATATCTAATTCCAGCACACAAGAGATAATGCTGGTATTGCTTGCTTTCCCACTTAAACCAATAAGTACAATAAAAATCCAAGTAGTCTGTCCTCTTACTTGTAAACTGTAACATGCATAAGATTAGCAGCATTTCATAAAGGCCCAGACCCAGATAAAAAGGCCTCTGATTCAAGGGCAAATACAATAATAGATTGCCAGCAAGTTCCAGCAGCTTCACATATTGTGGTAGGCGATAAAATATTTTTTTTCTGTTCACTGTTTCTTTTCATTGGAAGCACGGATTCTGGATCAGGCTACGATTGTGTATTTGGCAAGGAATATAGCAAATTTAGATAATGGTTTATACTATTAATCTGGATCCAGCTGTGAACAAATTTGGAACATAAAATCAAGACAAAATATGCTAGAAAACTTGGAAAACTTGGAAAAACCTCAAGATGTCACCTATCCTTCTCTATGTGCAAGGTATGCCTAGGCTTATTTCTGACAAATCACCCTTGACGTGAATTTTCAACGAATACCACTGTAAGCATTTATCTGACCAAGGAACTTGAGAAGCCATTTATTTTTTTAATGTGGAAAAGAAGAAAAAAAAAAAAATAAAGTGTCACATTTTTCATCAGCTGTCGAACCAATTCATTTTTTCAAGTTTAAAAGTTTGGCAAGGAAATTAAATTTTCACATCTACCTTTTCTTTAATTGGTTCTGAAGGAGACAGCAGGATGGACTGTTAACACCTTCATACCTGTCTGCCTCAGTATATCAAGTAAATTGGTTTGCTACTCACTTTTTGCAATAAGCAGTGGTGATGCAGAAGATCAGTAGGAAAACTAACAGTAAGACAGCAGAAATTCCTCCAGCTATGTAGAAAATAAACCATTTGGGATCCCAAGTTGCTAAAATACAATCTGTAATAAATATGATTAGTATTTTATATAAACTGGCACGAACTTTTTATGACCAACTAAGTTGAAAATCAACAACTATGTAGAGATGTTATTCCATGACAGCTCATGCTCAATATTCAGACCTTACAACCATTTTCTCATTTCTAAAATGCCTTTCTTACGCTGAAATAGCCCCTGCAAAAGTTGTGACTGAGATGACCGAAGGTGAGTGAACACAGCACAGTGGCATGAAAAAAACAATGATGCCTTGTACAATCCTTTCCTATCTCCTTCCCTCCCCTGGTGAGAAAACAGTCCAACAGCTTACATAAGTGACTCAATATATGGATAATAAAAGCACTCAGACTAGATAAGTGAATGTTCTGGGCATTTTAAAGGTTGTCCCATAAGAAATACCTAACGATATACAATACTTCCATGGGCAAAAAGAGATTTTTCAGAGTACCAGGAAGATCATCTCAGTGCCCAAGAGGTTTTCTATTCAGTACTGCACAGCTGTATCAGTTATTTTCTGCTCTAATTCAAAAGGAAATCTTTTCACTTTTTAACAAAAATATTCCCACAAAATGTTCTCCCACTGTGATAACTTTTTTTTTTATAACCCAGTACTGTACATGCTTTGATTCTGGATGTCAGGAAACCTACCCTATTTGTTCTATCTTAAACAAAAATTATTCATTTGAGAATTACAACGAAGGCAGGAAAAGTAACAGTTATAGTAACTTTGCTTAAAATGCATAGACTTCTCTGCTATGGAGTCACATCTTTAAATGAAGCTAAGGAGCAACATATAATAACTCAAAGGTGGAGACAGCAAGATGATAGCTTCAATGCATGAGTCAATATATTCTTACGGTGCTCAAGCTTGTGGAGAGATAATGTAATATTTTTCTCATTTTTTAGGTGAAAAAAGATGGGAAAAGAAAGAAGTTATGTGCTCAAAGTCACACAGGAAGTCCACAACACAAATACTCAGTACAGTTATGATGCATTTAAAACATTTGTGAATCTTTCTTTTGTCACAATTGGTTAGTGGTAGCATTAAAAAAAAAAGGAGTGTTAAACCACAGAACTTCTTTTGCAGCCCATCACAGTGCCCTGCTTCCTGCTTCTCTGTTGTGTCTCACTAGCACTCTGCAGACTTGAGACTAATAGCACAAAAAGCAAGTGAACACAAATAGTATGCAATGAACACTTCTGTAAATAGTGTATTTGTGGCTAGTGGCATCAGCTGCCAAGACACATCTTAGCCAGATGATCCTACCAACTTCTTGGTCACAAACTTGTTTCTTGTGCTTCAGATACAGACTAGAAAGTCACTGGTGAACAGGGACTAAAAAACTGTCTTATAAATTAGTCCCTCTCTAATGTTCTGCTCACTGCAGGGAGAAAGATAGTATCTGATAATGAAGCCATAGCTTCCCGGAACAGCTTTTGTTCTGGGTAGGCAAAAAAGTTACATGCTCAGTTCATAGACTAAGGAAAACAACCAGTATCACTAACAACACTGAGCCATCACCAGATGGCTTTTCTCTCCTGGATCAAAAAGATTCACAGCTTCTTATCTGGCTATCCTGAATACCAGCTGAGACTTACTTAGGTACACCTCTTTAGTAATAATATGCTCATTGGAGGGGACAACAAAAAGTACTGATCACAGAAGAGTCTTACCCTTGAATTCCGATGTTATTTTGCTGGAAATTAAAAAGAAAGAAAATTTTTGCAGACATCTGTGCTGCTGAAGGTATGTCACACAATAGAGAGGGCTGCCTGATAATGAATATTGATGTATTTTTTGTTATAATCTCATAGGAAATAGCTCTACTTCCAGCACGTGTTCAACTGCTGCATACTCAAAATGACAAGATAGTGCATATAACTATGTCCAACTTCAGGGGAGATTACAATGTCTTTTTTTCCAAGTGTTTAGCTACCTGCCACAGAAAATCATTATCTGTGCCAGTGATGACTTACAGAAATAGGGAGAAAACATCTTGTAAACCACAAAGATTAAGATTTCAGCTACTACGTTAAAAATCATGTTTTTAATTATCATCAAGGATGGGTGAATTTGGACAGAGTTCCAGACTTCAGCAGCATGCCCACCCTGCAGTCTAAGCACTCCAGACGTCATTTTTCTTTTCCTGAAGTTTCACCTTCAATTTTATCAGGTCAAGATAATAATCTCTAAGTTAATGAGTTTGAGAGCTGAGATTATCAGCTGTCAGTTAAATTTGGATGAGAAAAATCATTAGACTTTTTTTTTGAAGAAACAACAAGTCAAAGCCCTTTGCTTTTTTGCATTTGAAGTGAGCAAATCCTTCCTGAGGCATTTGTTTTCTTTAACTGTACAAAACCTTTTGTAATTGCTGACTTAATTAATAACATTCAAGATTTTTCAGAAACATGTCAGAGGCTTGTCATGTGTCTCTTTAGTTCTTGTGTTCTTATCAAAAGTGATATGCTGACAGGAGGCTATTAAGTGTATTTTCAGCATCAGTACAATTTCTTTTAAGAAATGTCTGTTAAGACAATGCATCCCTCTCTCCCCCATCTTCATAGCCTTGGCACTTTCTCTGCAAGAATGTGAAATTTTTTTGCATGAAGGTTTTCGACCTTCAGTGCACTGACTTTGGCTTTGAGGAGGAAGCACTGATGGGCCAGACTGTTACTTGTTCTAACAAAAGATTTGAACTGCACTGTAAAGATCTTCATGTAGCTTGTCACATGCCTTGCTGGACTGGCACATATGGTATGCTAACTAGGCATCACTGAAATAGTTTTGTCCACAACTGAAAGGCAGAAATCCAACACAAATGCATTTGTGCCCAGAGAAAGGTGATTAGTTGAGTAGAGACTCACAGAGAAGGACTGATATCTTGAGTTCATACTGGATGAATTCATGAAGGAAGAAGGGAAGCTAATTTCACTCCTTCCCTGATCCTCCTCATCCCCGACTACAGCCTTATCTTCTGTCTGTTTTCTATGGCACAGAAGCTGCTGTCTCTTCCCAGCTCAGAAGGACTGTATGATAACCCTCAATGACTGGACAATCAGCCCCCTGCTTTTCCTCTGGGCACTATGAAGATCATACTGGGTGCTATCGAAAGACATTTAAAGGACAATTTAAAGGCACAGTCAATGAGGGTTCCCAAAGGGAAAGTCCTGTCTAACTAATTTGATATCCTTCTATGATAAGGTCACCCACCTAATGGATGAAGGGAACAAATGCTGGATTCTACACCTAGGACGGAGTAACACCAGGCACAAGTATAAACTGGGAGGGGAGTGGCCAGAGAGCAGCCCTGCAGAAAGGGACCTGGGGGTGCTGGTTGACAGCAGGCTCGGTATGAGTCAGCAGTGTGCCCTGGCCCCCAAAAGGGGAAACCACATCCTGGGGTGCATCAAACACAGTGTAACCAGCTGGTCAAAAGTGGCGATTATCCCCCTGTATTCACTGTTGGTGCAGCCTCACCTTGAGTACTGTGTGCGTTTCTGGGCCTCACAACTTAAGAAGGATGTGAAGGTCCTTGAATACATCCGGCGTAAGGCAACAAAGTTGGTGAAAGGGCTAGTACAAACGGCTAGTACAAACCATAATGTAATTCTGGCCCCTAAACATATATTTAAGTACAACCACCAACCAGTTTCTCCATTCTAGTGGGAACACACAGCAACACAAAATGCTTCTATTTTCCTTTGTCTAAGAGGGCTTGCTATCCCACTTTGTGCTAAAGCAAGAAAAAAACGTATTAAATCTTCTAAAAAAGGCTAGGTCTTCAAGATGGAATAAGCATTTATTTTCAACCCTTCTATTTTTCTGTTCTTTCATATGGCATCTCCCCTTCCTCCCCAATCATCTACCATGGGTTTTAAGTCTCCTTCCTTCCTTCAAAACCAAGCAAAAAAAAAAATGAAATATAATCAAAGGAAAAAATATAGCAAGTAAAATTCAGAAATGGGTTCAGATGTGGAACCTGGTGACATGACTAATCTCCATATTAGTAGAATTTTTAGAAGGACAAATATGTGAAGAACACATCAGATATTAAACCAAAGTCTCTTGAACACATTACATCATTTTGTAATATTCAGCCTCCTGGTTCTGTAAGTGTTGTCCAACAAAAGCTACACTACTTTACACACACGTTTCTTTATGTGTTCCAGGCTTTGAGGTCAAAAAAGATTTGCAGAAGACCCATTTCAGCTAGAAATTTCTGTTACTGAAAAACAACAATCACAATATTTAGTGGTATAGAATAGACACCCTGCATTGGATTTGCGTGGCAAGATTTTGGTAGCGGGGGGGGGCTACAGGAGTGGCTTCTGTGAGAAGGTGCTAGAAGCTTTCCCTGTGTCAGCCACCAGCCAAGGCCAAGCTGATCAGTGATGGTGGTAGCACCTCTGGGATAACATATTTAAGAAGGGAAAAACTGCTGCAGAACAGTAGCTGGAGAGAGAGAGAAGTGAAAGGATGTAAGAGAAAACAGCCCTGCAGACACCAAGGTCAGTGAAGAAGGAGGGGGAGGAGGTGCTCCAGGTGCCAGAGCAGAGATTCCCCTGCAGTCCCTGGTGAAGACCATGGTGAGGCAGGCTGTCCCCCTGCAGCCCATGGAGGTCCACAGTGGAGCAAATATCCACCTGCAGCCCGTGGAGGACCCCACGCTAGAGCGGGTGGATGCCCAAAGGAGTCTGTGACCCTGTGGGAAGCCTGCATTGGATCAGGTTCCTGGCAAGACCTGTGAACCTGTGAAAGGAGGACCCCACATTGGAGCAGATTTCCTGGCAGGTCTTGCGACCCCATGCTGGAGCAGTCTGTTCCTGAAAGACTGCACCCTGTGGAAAGGATTGACCCACGCTGGAGCAGTTTGTGAAGAACTGTAGCCTGTGGGAAGGACTCACGCTGGAGAAGTTCAAGGAGGACTGTCTCTCATGAGACGGACCCCACGCTGGAGCAGGGGCAGAGTGTGAGGAGTCCTCCCCTTGAGGAGGAAGGAGCAGCAGAGACAGTGGGTGATGAACTGACCCCAGCCCCCATTCCCCATCCCCCTGCACTGCTCAGGGGGAAAGAGGTAGAGAATTTGGGAGCGAAGTTAAGCCCAGGAAGAACGGAAAGCCTGTGGGAAGGACTCACGCTGGAGAAGTTCAAGGAGGACTGTCTCTCATGAGACGGACCCCACGCTGGAGCAGGGGCAGAGTGTGAGGAGTCCTCCCCTTGGGGAGGAAGGAGCAGCAGAGACAGTGGGTGATGAACTGACCCCAGCCCCCATTCCCCATCCCCCTGCACTGCTCAGGGGGAAAGAGGTAGAGAATTTGGGAGCGAAGTTAAGCCCAGGAAGAACGGAAGGGTGGGAGGAAGGTGTTTTAAGATTCAGGGGGTTTTATCCTCTCCTACTCTGATTTGATTGGTAATAAATGAAACTAATTTCACCAAGTTGAGTCTGTTTTGCCCATGACGGTAACTGGCAAAAATGATCTCTCCCTGTCCTTATCTCAGCCCACAGTTTTTTCATTCACCCTGTCCAGCTGAGGAGGGGAGTGATAAAACGTCTTTGGTGGGCACCTCACATCCAGCCAAATGGATCTCGTGTGGTTTTTTTCACTGATGTTCGAAAATGTTAAATGTAGCATGCCAACTTCTACTGGTACAACTGCAAGAATATCACAGGCTTTCCCAACACTTCAAGACTTATTCCATTCTCTCTCACACTTTTTTCTTCATAGGAATTCCATGCTGTTTCTCTTTGCAAAAAAATACATTCACCTTTAGACAAGGAGCAAGTTGTTTCTGTGGAAACAAGATTAATTGTTTATTTTGCTATCTCTAACATGCCGCTAATTGGAATGTGGTATTTAAATAAATCCTCACTTGTTAGCAAAGAGTTATTTTATATGGCTTAAAGTGTTAATACCTCAGAAGGTCCTATTGTAAAAACATTTACCACTTCCTCTTTACTTACCAGCCACAGTAAAACTCATCACATAGGTTTTGTTTCTTCCAGTAGCCATGCAGCGGTACATTGCAAAGTCAGAGGCAGTAATGTTTTGAATGATGATCATGGAGTTTGCCTGAGCAGAGCAATCCACCAGTGTACGCTCTTTGAAATCTGAACCAAAGCTTTGCTTTCCTGATGAGTCGCACAGAACAATGGTATCTACCTGATCTCCTTTAATCTTTTCCCACATCAGTTGCTGCACTGCATCTCCAATTTTATAAGGGCAAGTAAAAGTGACATTTCCTCCTGGCTTGGTAAACACGGGATTATTTTGTTTCTCAGATACTTCAAAAACATCTGCTGAAAACCACAAAAAACCAACAAAATACTGCTTATATTTCATTCAACAGAAGTTTAGTATCAATAATTCCTGTATGGTTAATATTAATTAAATTGACTTACAGCAAAAAGATATTCAAATCATTTGAACTATTGAAAAATGTCATCTATACTTATCTATGAGTGTAGTTTTGTGCACATTTAAACAAAACAGTCTTTATGGAACCGTGAGACTGCAATGACATGGCAAGAAGGCTACTTTGATACATTTTGAGTACATGAATGTTTTATTAAATGTTTCGGCAAATATTCAACAGCATAAACTATGGGGCCAGTCTAATTAAATTTGTGAGTCTTGTTCTGCTTTCACACTAATTATGAAAAGAAAATGGTTTGATGTGACCCTCGGGACATGCATTAGTAAATTATGTTACAAGACATTCCAGCCTATGAATTACAATTGTCCCATTCCCACACCTTACCACTTAAATAAAAAAATCCTTAACTCTTCGTATACTTTACTTGGGAAAAACCTGTGTGATAATCAGGCTGTGATATGAAAGGAGACATCCAGACAAATTCAAGCCTTAATCCACATATAAACCATAGATATATCTTAAACAATTTTGATTGAAATTCCCCTGCTCTGAGTTAGTTTTAGTATCAGAATTCACTGTTTTAATGAAAAAAAAAAATTAAAGTCTTCAATAGAAAGATTGTCAATGTTTCTGATATTCAGAGCATTCAATAGCCACTTGGTTTCTAAAGTTGGCTTTGTAATGCATATATTCATAAGTTAGGACTAACACTGCCATCTTTTTGAAGACTTTAGTGTGAAAAATATTAATGATCAGACTTCTTTTCCTACACTGTAAAAGGACTGATCTTTCAAGCTGTTCAATGAGTTTCTTTTTTTATTAGATGTCTTTATGTCACAAAAAGTCACACTTTAATGTGTTTACCTCTATGTATTGTAACAACTGGAAGCAAAGACAAAAAATAAAATTGCATAGGAAAAATGACAGTCATTATATGTATCAAAAACTCTTTTTTAAAAAAGTTTTAAAATGAAGCTGCAGACAGATTCATGGGATGGGATGGTTGCAGTAGCACTCTCTAATTGGAACAGAGTACACTGTAGGACTGAGATCTTCTTTGATATAATAGTTTTATCAAAAATCTAGGGGGGGTAAATGCTGGTAAACTGTATTTCTTTGGATGCTGGTAGTGCCAGTGTTGTCAAAATCATAGGTACTGGAGAAATCAATACAGGGTGGCCTGCCCAACCTCCTAAGCTAGGTGCAAAGAGTAATAGGATTTCATGTGGGCAAATTCCTAAATCTAGGAATAAGTGATTCCATTCATGTTGACAGGATGGTAACTTGACTGTGGAAGTCAGTGACTTCTGAGACTTGTGCAGTCTCTGTGAAATGGTGAATGAAAAAAAATCTAGCCTGAAGTTTTTTATCAGTGGAACACAGCACAGAAAAATTGCATTCCGTCTGCCTTTGGACCAGAAGTATGATTAAAACATTGAAATGCTGAAAGACAAAAGGAACTGTGTCTAATGAGTTTACCTAAAAAAATTAATGAAGAACTTGAAGATCCATGTAGACTGCAATCAAGGAGACAGAAAGTTAATGATAGACAAGGACAGGAGAGAGATAAATTCACTAAACTAAACAGAAGGTACAACACAGTGAAGCTAATTAACTCCTTGGACAGCTTGCCAAAGGCAGCTAATTTTCTACGACTGAAGACAACTGCCAAGGCTAGATAATCACTTAAGATATCATGCTAGTTCCAGCAAGAATTTATTCATGGAAATCTAAGTATTATTCAAGTCAGACTACTATGATGGGACTCTACACTTGCAGATGTTCCTTGCAGTGCAGTCTCTCAAAAGTCACTACGCTAGAAAAGGTAATTTTTTTTGTACCTAGCAGATTCAGATCTGCTAGGGAAGAGGGGTAAATGAAAAGGTAATTGAAACTAACTCTCTCTCTTGCCCATCATATTCTTACAGGTCAGAGGCTTTCCTCCTGTCCCACTTTCCAGACCACTAACTTCCAGCAACTGTCTGCTTTACAACAAACAACATACTCTTCCCTGAGAAGTCGGGTCTTCATTGTGCAGCTTTTGCTGTCTTCTGCTGTGAGCAAGCCCTACTGCTACCCACATTCTCCTTAGGAGTCTTGAAGTCTCCCCATTTGCTCCTGGGTCCATGCTTGCTCTCCTATTGATTTCACACCAATACAACTCTGAACTCCGGGTGTTTCTCCTATCTAAACATGCTTATTAGGGAAATTATGTGTCTGATGATGATACCTCCCACCTTCCAGAGGATTCCCTGACTCAAAGGGCAGCAACCAGGACTATATAAAAAACACCTTCTTCCCTTCTGCCCTGCTATACATTTGCTAGAAAAATATACATTATATGTGAACAAGAAGCTAAAACATTTTCCACCCAAATAATGAAAATCCCTTCTGTCTTAAATCTTAGTGGTTAACTTTGTATATTTACCAAACAATATATCACAGTTTCTCAATATTATATAATACTACAGCATACTATAGCATACTGTAACAGGTACATTATAATGCTAAGGTTGTCTTGCAAATTCAGTGAAGAATTTCCAGGTACAAATCTTGACATATTTCTATAAATTGCCGATATACAGATAATAAATAAAATCTTAATAGTGAGAAATATATATAAACAGTCAAATTAAAATAGAAACAGTTTTGAGATTTTCAGCTGCTGCACATTTTATCATAACCTTTTTCAAACACCGACATCATGACACATTTTATTTTTTTGCATTGGGTGTGTATTTTACTTGACAGTATGCGGCAACATTCAGGCATTCACACTGTTGATTAAAGATATAAATCATTCCCCTTCTTACCGTATGGTACCTTGCACAACTTAAATGATTATGTAAGGTACAAGCAGTGGGGAATCAGGCCTACGTAGTTCTAATTAAATCTTCCAAGTACACTAAAGTGTTCCAGGCTTTTGTTTTAAGCAGTTGTCCCATTTTATTTTGACAACAACATCAGCATAGTTCTTTCACCCTCCCTCTCCTCTGTTCAACCACTTTCTTTATTTAGCACCTTTCTGAACACAGTTTCTTTGTTTTCAGCCTGGCATGCGTAGGATGAGAACCTCCCATTTTGAGAAATAGTTCTAGGGGGAAAAAGGCATACCCACATACCTTCACCTGGGCACACGCACAATACAAGGTGACACACCATGTGTGAACATTTCAGAAACGCTAAGAGAAATGTATCATTGCATCTGATAAAAATAGACTTCCCCTGCCCACTGCTCATTCCAGTGACTGTTGCCTGCTCTGCCCCCTGCCATGGCCATGTTGTTTCTCCCTCTGGACAGAAAGTAGGAGGGTGTGTCAGCACTCACAGTAGGTGTGTTTGCCTAAAGAAGTGCTCTGTGTTTGATATTCTCCCCACACCTCTTTTGGTGGGATGTTATCTCGTCATGTTTTGCAGTTATACATATTTCCATCTGCTTTTACGGCTATCAGACATTTAAAGGAGAAAAAATGTAAGCATTCATGTTTTTAAAAACAGAAGAATGTAAACTAACTTGCCAGGTTTTCAAGGATCAAGCAAATTAACTAAAATTCTGCAGCAGGGAAACTGATGAAATTAAGATACTCATTTTGGACAGAAAATAAAATAATGGCGTGGGGTTTTTTTCTTCCTCCTTTGCCCTTGCTACAAGCAATTAAAACTCAAAATGAATGTTATGTAAATGTTTGGTCCCCATTTTTTGGGTAGAGATTTTCAGATTTTCTACTTTTTGGTTCGTGTCCTATGCACTTTGATTACTCTTTTTGTTCCTTTGGTCTCCGATAGGATTAGCTGGTTTTACTCCTTCAAAGGAAAGTTGCTTAGATACCTATACCTGTTTTCAGCTGGTTTATTAATTTTTTAAGTTGGTATGTATGATACTTTAATTACTGTTCACTGCAAGTTTTACCAGTCCCAGATTTATAATTCTACACAAGGTTCTAGAGTTTCACTCTGGACTACACATAAATCTCTTGCATTCCTCATGGTTTAAAACCATATAAGAAGGAAACATTCACACTTCAACATCAGCTCTGCAACTTTAGAAAGGCAAAATTCAGCGCAGTAACATAAAATGCATTGAAACATTCTTTTGGCTTAGCATGTTTCTGCATCTCTGTTTAGGCTTAAAGCTTAGCAGAGTTTAAGTACTACCAGAGCTGGTTTTATACGAAGAGAGTTACATCAGCTGCTTCAGGCAAGGGCATACACTGCCAAGTAACAAACGTGGGGAGTCACACCCCATGCTCAGCCACCCCAGCGCACAGGCATTTTCCATGTGCTCCCAGGTACCACGAGGTCAGGACAAGCTCATAATGCTCAGATGGATGGCAACAGAGCTACCTTCGGAGTAGCTGCCATTAGCAAGTAATGCTCTCCATCAGAAATAACTGATGACCTTAGCAGACTTTTCAAAACTGAAAAGCTAACTTAGCCCTACAGCAGAGACAGGTTCCCACTTGGTTTGCTGAAGCTCTGTATACAAACACAACCTTCTTCCTCTGCTTATAATAAGAAGTGACAAAACAAATTGCAGATAAAAAAGGAGGCTTAAAATTTTATGAAGATGAACTTTCCCCGGGGCTCTTCTTTTCACCAAGAAAATCAGCTTTCAGATGAGAAACAACTTCAGGAGTAACCCCTTCACCCTTCTGGAATAGGCTAAATATGGAATTATATTTAGCTCCCAAACTAATGCCTTCCTACTGTATGATCACATACCACATAATTTTGTTCAGTTTCTAAAAAATGTTTTTGCCCTTTTTTGGGTGAGACAGGGAAATGTGCATGCATAGCTATTAAATAAGTTGGAACAGTAAAGATCTTCATTTTTAATGAGCTAGCAGTTCTACAGTCAGACTCAGAAACTGGTGGTAGCGCAGTGTTTGAAAAGGATGCAGTTTTCTAATAGCAACTATTTAG